TATAGTCTCCTCTGAGTTGTATAATACAAGCTGCATTATCTGAATACATAATTGTTGGACTATCCTTTATTGAAGTTAACCCGCATGATGTTTGGATATGATGGGTCATGTTTCTCAGTCATACACATTCTCGGTCTACTTCATGGATTGTAATAATTTCAGAATGATTTAAGGATGTAGCTGTCAAAAATTGCTTCACAGATTTCCATGATATAGCCGTTCCTCCACCTATAAATACATAACATGTTTGTGATTTGACTTTGTGTGAGTCAGATAGTAACCTGCATTACATATCCTATTAAAACAGATCCCGACTTTTGAGAATAAAATAATCTCAAATTAATAGTACCCTTTAGGTAACCAAAAATGTGTTTAACACCATTCAATGTCTTTGAGTTGATGTAGAGTTATATCTTACAAGGAAATTTACAGAAAAAATCATGTTTGGTCAAGTGCAATTTGCAAGATAAGTTAATGCTTCAATTGCACTAAAATATGGTATTTTTGGACCAAGAACCTTTTCTTCATCTTCAAGTGGACGAAATGGATCTTTTTTTACATCAAGTGATTGAACAACCATAGATGATGTCAATGAATGCGCATTATCTATATAAAAATGTTTTAAAACTTTTTCTGCATACGTGGATTGGTGAACAAATAATTCATCTATGAAATATTCAATCTACAATTCGAGACAAAATTTGATTTTTCTCAAATCTTTCATATCAAATTTATTTTTCAAAGAGTTAGCAGTTTTGTTGAGCTCTTCAAGAGTTCAAATTAAATTTAAATCATCAGCATAAACTGCTACAATTGCAAATCAAATATCTGTTTTCTTTATGAAAACATATGGACAGACATCGTCATTATTATAATTCTCCTCCAACGAATATTTGCTAAGGGGATTATACCACATGCGTCCGAATTCTTTCAATCCATATAATGATCCTTGTAATTTAATTGAGAATATAGCTCTCAAGCATGTATCGTTTGTTTTCGGTACCTTAAGTTCTTTAGGGACTTTCTTATATATGTCACAATCAAGTAAACCAAACAAATATGCGGTTACTACATCCATAAGACGTATATCAAGTTTTTGTGATACGGTCAAAATTAATTATGAATCTAAAAGTGATGGTATCCATTACGGGAGAATATATTTTCTTATAATTAATTCCTGGTCTTTGTGAGAAACCTTGAGCTACAAGTAAAGCTTTGTACCTTGTAATTTCATTATTTTCATTCCTCTTTTGTACAAAACTCATTTGTATCCAATAGGGATTACATTTTAAGGTGTTCAAATTACAGGTCCAAATACTTTTCGTTTCTCTAAGGAAATCAATTCTCTCTGTATGGTTTCTTTTTATTTTGGCCAATCATTTCTATTTTGACAATCGTTAACTGACTGTGATTCAGAATTTTCATTTTGCATAATATCAAGAATCACATTAAATGCAAAATATTGTTTATAACAATATTATTCCGTTCCAATAACTTATGAGAAAACATATAATTTATTAAAACCTTATTATTTTCGAACACTTGTAGTTCTTCGGGAACTATATTCTCAATATTTGATTGATCAATCTTTTCTAATGTTACGTCTTCTGATATTTTTGGTTGGTTTTTCTCATGCACATTTCTTTTTCGAGGTACAGAGTCTTTTGAGCCAATTGGTCGACCACACTTCTGACGTATTTGAGACTCATTTCTCACAGTAGATTGTCTTGTAAAGACGTCAATTTTTGCTAAAATATTTTCTGTTGTAATATATGAATTTGTCACTTTTCTTGTGTCAACAAATACATCAAGTAATTGATTTGTAACTCTTTATAGATGAATAATTTTTTCAACATCTTGCTCACATTGATTATTGCAGAGATTAAAATGAGATAGAGTTTTTTCATTCCAAGAAGTTTTACCTTATTTTTCGAGATGTAGTTTTTCCCCTCCCATAGTTGGAAAAGTGATTTCATAAAAATGGTAATTTGCAAAACGTGCAGTAAATAAATCTCCGGTTAAAGGCTCAAGATACCTAATAATTGATGGTGAATTAAAACCAACATAAATCTCAAGTTTTCATTGGGGACCCGTTTTAGTACGTTGTGAGGGTGAAATAGGGACCTGGACTGCACAACCAAAGACCCGTAGGTGATAAATATCAGGTTCATGACCAACTGTCAGTTGCAAATGTGAATATTGATAATAGGCAATTGGTCTAATATGAACCAGTGATGCAGCATGTAATATTGCAAAACCTCAAATAGAAGTTGGGAATTTTGTTTTCATAAGTAATGATCTAGAAATAAGTTGTAGATGTTTAATAAGGAACTCTGCCAAATCATTTTGTATATGGACATGCGTAATTGAATGTTCAATTACAATCTCAATTGACATACAATAATCATCGAATGCTTGTAATCTAAATTCACCAACGTTGTCAAGGTGAATAGTTTTAATTGAGTAATCGAAAAATCGCACTTGTAATTTTATAATTTGAGCAAGTACTCTAGCGAAGGCTACATTCGTAATGGAAAGCAGGTAAAAATGTGCCAATCTAGTAAAAAAATCAATTAATACCATAAAATAACGAAATGTTCCACATGGTCAAGAAAGTTGGAGATTCAATATTGACCTTTGTGGTCGAAGGTCTAATGACTAATTTGTCTTGCGAATAGTTATACATGGATAATAATTTGGTAAAAGAATCTTCTGGTTTTTAAAGAATGTCCATGCGAGTTGTTTATTATTTGACGCATCATTATAGCTCCTGAATGTCCAAATCGATCATGCCAAAGTATAAAACTTTTTGGGTCAACGAATTTTTTGTTCGTGACATTATTTAATTCAACTATTTTTATAAATGTATAATACATGTCAAATGGGAGTGCATGAGATTTTTTTTATCTGCTTCTGACTAGATACAAAAGAAGTTATGCAAAGACATTCAACAGTATTTTCTTGCGTCGTCTCAATATGATATCAACTGCAACGGTATCTTTAAAACTAAGCAATTTTGTTCTGGATTTGCTAGACTAAATTGCATCGTCAATATATAATTTTGTATTATTTCGTAAAATAATACAAGGTCTTCCAGAGCAGTCAGCGATATTCGATGCACTTGATATTATATTGACATTATTTCTTCTAATGTTAAGTCCAAAAAATATTTTTTATCTTGAAAAATAATGTGTATAGTTGTACTATCAATCAAATAGATGTCTTGACAATTCATTATGAATCTATTAATATAACAAAATAGATATATTTTTAAAAAATTTGAATTTAAATTTAAAATGATAAATATTATTAATATTGTGAAATTAACAATGCATAATAAAGTTCAAAATTTTTGCAAAAAGTAAAAACATATTTCAAATTAAATTTCTAAAATAAAAGGAAATATTAGAAACATAGAAGAAACTAATATATATCTTCCATTACACCACCCCCCAATCAAATGGTTAATATTCCTATTTGGATTAGCAAAAAAATCGGAGACAATCAAATGAGTCACATCAATTAGACCATCATAATCAGCAAAATTTGTCTCTACTTTAATTGTCATTCATCTCTAAACCCTGATAAACATACCTTTTACGACATTTATTTAATTTTTTCCTAACACAGTGACTAGCAGTGAAACCATTGTAAATTTTATTGATTAAATTAGTAAAGGAAAAAAATTAAGTAACGAGCATGAAATTTATACAAATTATGGTGACGATGAAACTAGGTCCATTAAAATTATAATTCATGTTTATCTCTTCTAATCAATCACACAATCTCCAATAAAATATTTCATCTGTCCCATTTATATAAGTTGTTTTGTTTTTCATAAAAATTAAGAAATTTTATTTAATATTATTGAAAAAGCAATTTTTGCAAAGATTTTTCCTAATTATCTTTATTTAATTATCAACAACTAATAGAAAAATAATGTATTTTCGTCCATGTTTCCAAGAAGAAATGGCAAATGTGTGTATGTATTTGGAAGAAGCTATCCCAACTGAAAATTTTGTCATGAACAAAATGACAATCAATTTTTATGTATTTAGTCCGTTCGTGGAATACAGGATTGGTTGCAATCTGAATTGCAGCATGATTGTCACAATAGAGGATGATTGAAAGTATAGTAGTGATTTGAAAGTCCTTTAAATGTTGATTGATCTAGACGATTTCATCAAATCATCAAATCCTTTAAATCATCAAATCCTTCCTCAACTGGAAGATCTGTGGTCCATTGCTTTGTTGAAATCTTTCTTTGAGATCACTCCAAATCTCTTATGTTGTAGAGACATAGAAAATATTGGTTGAAATTTCCTTTGAGAGTGAATCAAGTATCCATGACATTACCATATTATTGTTTCGAATCCGTAAATTGATTGAGTCAAGGCTTGCATATTCTGGTTTCTCCACTAATCCATCAATGAATGAAAGTTTTTTTCTTCACCAAAAGGGCTATTGTCATTGCACGACTCGAAGAGGCATAGTTTTCTCCTGTGAACGGCTGAGAAACAAGTACCAATCCCGGACTAACAAAATGATGGATTAAATACGGACTAGATGGTTCATAAATGGCGGACTTGCTCATGGATGATTGCGATTCAGAAGTATAGTCATATACAGTATAAATAGGCGCCAAAAGCCAACTGACTCAACTAACATCTTACTGGCAAACTAACCAACCAAGCTCCCATCTATACAAAATGTATGTATAAGTTCTAATAAATGGTCATTGATAATGTTCAAGTGAATCTTTCACATTCACATTATAATCATTACGACGTATCTCTAATAATTCTCGTTGACTTGCCAAGAGTTGTATCACCGACATTACATTATTCATGTTCATTGAGAGCTCTTTCAATTCCCTGAAGAAAAAAAAAAATGTCTAGCTCACCCTTAATTTGTACTTCAATGTGTTACATCAATTTGTTTACGATTATTTTAAATATTTTTAACTTAAATATTTTAATTTAACAGCCCACCATTCATACTAAGTGAACAAAATTGTGCTTTTATTTGGCACCTGACATGCCTTTTATTCCATAAAACATCAAATGCTTCAAGCCTACAATTGGCTGGCTAATATGTTACAGAGACAATCTTCAAAAATTTACATAAATGTTACATATTACTACTTCATGGGTGACCATTTTCACAGCTAATGCCGGTTCTACGGCCAGTCCCCGATCCCTGTATGCTGAAGACATCCTCAGAGTGATCATCAAACAGAAAGTACAAAGTTCCGATTCTTCAAAGAATTAAATTGGTTCTACTTAGGACTATCCGTACTAATGATCCGAACGTCATAAATCATACAAGAAAAGCGACCCAATAACACGAAGAAAGCTAACAACGCAAATGAGATCAGCACCAGGCAAGCATGAAGGAACGGTAGGCCCTCGGCTAAAAGTTCTTTTCCATGGGTTCCTCATTCTTGGTGACACCATCTTTATTAACAATAATGCTAACCAATTTACAAGGCTTGGCTTCCTCGAGCATTTGAACCACAGTTCTCATAGAAGGCCTTAATGCTGGTACCCTGGCTGTGCACATAATCCCAATTTTCAAAACTTTAATTGCATCTTCCTTGTAAACTTCTGGGATAGCTGAATCCACAATGCTTAACACACTTTCTTTAGTCTTAAGCTTGCTGCATACCCAATCTACTATGTCTTTGTTCTCCCCATACTCCTCCTCTATCGGCCTCTTTCTCGTTACCAGCTCCATCAGTACAACTCCAAAGCTGTATAAATCACTCTTTTCGCTCACTTTGTGTGTATAACCATATTCTGCAAAACGTATACAACAATTTCAACGATTAAATCGAAGAGACAATCACCAAACTGGTATAAAACTTTCATATGATTGGGTTAAAAACACTGATGATCTCTTATAAGATGATTGCTCGATTTAAACTTTGTTACAATTTGATCTTCTATTTTAATAGTTAGTTTGACAAACCAAAAAAAGGTGACATGGCAGTCCAATACTTTGCCAACTAGGATGCCATGTCAAGCTTTCCGTTATTCAAACTAATGGATATGAGCAAATTAATCAAATTGTAACAAACGTTTTAAGTTCAGAGAATATGATTAGTGGGAACAATTTGCTTACCTGGAGCTATATATCCATGTGTTCCTGCAATTATTTGGGTCGATTCAGTTGAATTGAATTGATTTATTTTCGCGAGTCCAAAATCTGCAATCCGAGGCTTTAAAAACTCGTCCAACAGAATGTTGCTGGACTTGACATCGCGATGAATTATGGGCCTATCACAACCATGATGCAAATACTCCAATCCTTTCGCTGCACCCAAAGCAATCTCGTACCGCGCATCCCAGTCGAGTGCCAGTTTCTTGGATGTATGCAGTCTGTCCCATAAACTTCCGTTAGGCAAATATTCGTAAACCAACAAGCTTGAGTCCTCGCTTGTTATGCTACAATACAACTTAACAACATTAACATGTCTTATGGAGCTCAATGTCCGAACCTCGGCGTCAAATTCTCGCAACCTCTTACCACGACTCGCCAATATCGGAGTTGCGCTACCGATCCTTTTCTGGTCACCTGAATCAGAATGCCAAATATGCTTCACGGCCAGTACTGTACCGTTTGCTAGAACAACTCTATACACATCCCCACAACCCCCTTTTCCTATTAAATTATCTTGCTTGATGGAATCAAGAATCTCATCTTCTGAAATGCTCAAAACGTGGTATGATTTAACATCCCATGATTCTTCCTTCAAAGTTCGCTTTTTGGTCTTCTTTTTTATGTAACAAAAGTACACGAGTGAGACGAGCAACACAAAAAATACCGCCATGAAGCAGAATATGAGTGCTGGGAGATGCCTGTGCATGTTGGATTTTTGTGAACATCGTTGAAAATGCCCGATTTTCTCACTACACAAGCCTTGATTTCCATCGAAGCTACCGCTGTTGGCCTGAATCAATAGAGACTCCGGTATAGGACCGGACAAATGATTGTTCGAAATGTCAAGAAGATTGAGCTTTAGAGAGGCTAAGCTCCCAGGGATCAGTCCAGAGAGTTGATTCCTCGACAAATTCAAGAAATTGAGAGTCGGTAATGACCCGAGAGCTCTCGGAATGTGGCCGGTAAATGAATTGCGAGCCATGTTAATATTAGTGATAGAATCACACGAACCTAATGAATCAGGTATTGGACCAGAAAACTCATTGCTATGCAATTCAAGACTGTCCAGTTGCTTTAGTTCACCAATTGTTGCCGGTACTTCACCGGAGAACTGATTGTCGCTCAAATCAATAGAAACCAAACCTGTAGCCTTAGAAATCTCCGATGGTAATTCCCCGGAGAGTCTATTATTAGCGAGACACAATTGTTTCAGGGACTTGGCCCTTCCAACATCAGTAGTTATAGGCCCCTCCAAGTTATTCAGTGCAATATCAATGATTTCGACATTAGGCAGTGCCCATATGCCACCAGGAACGGGACCAGAAAGCAAGTTCTTACTAACACGAAAACGTATTAGCGTCGTGCAATTTGCATATGTGTCTGGAATTCGACCTGTGAAATTGTTCTGAAGCATCAAGAGTCGAGTCATGGTCCCTTTCTTGCACATTTCTGGAGGTATCTGACCGGTGAAATAGTTCTCGGAGACATCTATGAAATCGAAATCGGCCCACGAGCCAAGCTTCTCCGGCAGCTGACCAGTGAGCTTATTAGTGTAAAGAGACAAGTTCACCAGCCTCTTGAACTCGCCCAACTCAGCCGGCAGTTCACCAGTAAACTCATTTTGAAAGAGTTGCAGAGACACCAGTTGATACAAGGATCTGATTTCTGAAAGATTACCATTCAAAAAATTAGTCGAAGCATCAAAATATTCAAGACTCCTTAAATTTCCAAACCCAACAGGCAATTTCCCGCTCAATTCATTTTGGTAAAGCTGAAGTTGCCACAGTTTCGAAAGGTTTGTAATCCCCACCGGAATCTCCCCGGTGATGTAATTCATAGACAACTCCAAATCAATCAGCTCAACAAGATTCCCAATCCCTTCTGGGATTTTCCCTTTGATGCTGCAATTCGATAAATAGAGCCAATTCAGCTTTGTAAGCTTCACAATCATCGCCGGAAATTCCGTCCGATCAAACGGGTTGTCGCCGAGACTTAGTACAGCAAGATTTGTCAAATTTTCAAGAGAATTCCACGGAAAAACTCCTGAAAACCCACTTTTATTTGCGTATAAATACACCAATCCACTAATTGATGAGATTTCAGGGAATGGCCCCGATAAAAAATTGTTGCCCAAGTCTAAATATTTAAGCGCAGTACAATTGTTCAACTCCTCGGTGACTCGGCCGTAGAGTGAGTTGAACCCGAGCGAGAGCCTTTCCAATGACCGGAGCTTGCATATAGAACCAAAAGGAACTGAACCTGTCAAATTCTGATTGGAGAGTTCAATTTCTTTAACAAAGCCATTGGAATCACAGGTGAGTCCTACAAAATTGCAAACAGGATTACTGGGATTCCAGGAATCAAATACTTTTGTCCTAGACTCTTTGAAGGCAGATTTTATGGTTAAAAGGGTCTGAAGCTCGTCGGAGACGGCAAAAGAGAGGAAGCAAAAGAGGCAGAGAAAGTGCAAAATTGCCCGGAAAATGGTCGCCGGCGACATAGCGGACGCTGAATTGGTTTGACTAAAAGGAAGAAGTATTTTGTTTCGAATGACGAAAGAGAACGAAGTTTTATCACATTGTCCGCACCAAGTTTACCCCACCTTTTCAAGTTTGTCACATTAGGCAGAAAGAGGGTTGAGAGTTTAGAGTAATGTATTGTTCCAATTTCTGTCGCTGTCCCTTTTCTGATGTGAAATGGAAAGAACAGTCAATGTAGCAAGGAAACTTCCACTAGCCGGCAGTTTTGACTTATCCTCTCACTGACCACCACCTGTTGGTTTTACTCTTACATTTCAAACTTCCATAACAAAATTTGTATTCTTCTTAGAATCATTCTAGATGTTTAGTTGTTTTGATGTGAAAAAGTGTTAAAAGAAATCAAAGCTATAACGGGTACAATGTTAAATGATGTGAAAGTTAACATAAATAACAATGTATATGTAGTGTGTTTCTTCTTTTCGTCGTGCTAAAGCAACAGGGGTGGCCTCGATCTCGACCCTGGATCCTATCCCTGTCTCTTTAACATTAAACTTCTTCTCCTTACGCCAGAGTTTGGCTAAGATTATAAGTTGGTATTAAAACTTTCAGGGTCCTATTTAATATATATTTTTTTTAAAAAATCTTTAAAAGTTAAATTATTACAATTTTACATTTGAGTAAGAACTATTGAGGAAGCCGTTCATCTAGACTTTTGATAATGATATAATATTCTACTTGTCAAAAAGTTATTTGACTAACTTACGTCCTAGAAAATTCGTATCAATCGAGGTGATTATGTATTTACAGTCTCTAGATAACTCGATATTTTTTAACTTTCATTGATCTAAAATATTACCCTCTAATTTAACTACAAGAAAAAAAATATTAATGTTAAGTAAAAAGTGCAAATTAAGAAAATAATCTCAAATTTTAATTTGGTTGTGATGTGGAAGCATGAATGTCGGCCAATGCGCCTAGTGGGGAGCCGCAGCATCTAACAATTTCACTTGAGTTAATATTTGTTAAGACGGTGTTGGTCGTACAAAATAGTGTTTACACCCTTCTTGACAAATCAGACACATGAAGAGGCGGGGGTCACGACTTTTTGCATTTTTTATTCATGTGGAGGTTGTCTCGAGATCCACATATATGTGAATATCTGTCATGTAGGGTGTCAATCATTTTCTGGTAAAGGAGATTTATTCTATTTGTTATGAAAGGGATAAATTGGTAATTCCACTAATAATTTATTTAAACAGCTCCCAAGACTAAACGTGCGCAATTATTGTTTTCTGCAACGATTTTCATTGTTATTGTATTTTGATTGCATAATCAATTGGAAAGAATTAATCAAAATGACAGACAAGACAAGCATGTATATTGACTTTTGTTTATATATATGCTTATAATCCTCTTTGTCGCTGATTAATAATTAAAAATGTATGGAGAGAAATAGAAAATAAAGATTGATGTTTATTTTGTCTTCAATTTAAAGAATACTTTAGGTTAAGCAATAATATTTTTTAATTGAAGAACATAATTATAAACCACCAAATTAAAGATGCTATTTGACCTAACACCACCCCACCCCCCGGTTCTTTAAAAGGGTAAAAAATGTTGGAAAAAAAGAAAAGAAAAAAAAAAGTAAAAAAGTTGCAAGTGATTCACTATATATATATATATATTTCATGTTAATCCAAATGAAAAGTGTTTGGGATAGTTAGCATATTATGAAAATGAAAGACATGTCTCCTCCACTCAAAGACTCGAAACTTGATCAAGTAATTTCGAATCTACTTTCCAAAAGTTAAGATGACGTGAAAATGTGATTGAGAAATAACAAGAAAAGTAAGTAGCATTTCAAATGATGTGGGTCGGGAAGGAGAAGCATTTAAGTTATTCTTAGAATAGTATTTTACGTACACTGCAAGTAAAATTTTTACGATCATAAACAGATACAGATGGAAATCATCAATTTATTTTAAGAGTTTGTACAACATCGCCACGTTATACTACGTGCCTTTAAGCATATGTTCTTTGAATCTTCCTTCCTTGTAGCTTTCGTTTCTAGTCAATTTGCGGCACTTTGTCTTGCATTGAGCTTCCCATGACTAAAAATTGGTCAAGCCAGATTGGTTGTAGATATGTTTTAATTAATTTTGTCCGAAATAAATGTTTTGGTTGTTTAATCTGATTATTATAGTAAGCATTAAGTTTCACTTACACGACAAATTCTAATTACATCAATTGACAAATTTTACCATTTCAATAATATTGATGTATTTATTGCATTCAATCTTCGACATTTCTATTTATAAACACAAAACTTATCAAGATGTACTTTAAAAGACAAAAGGAAAGTCCGTACCAGCACAAGGCGCCATGCCGAAACCGTCCAGCGAAGGTTCATAACATTTCATAAATATGTACCTAAAATCCATTTGGACGGAAACCGTCCAAAACACCTTTAGTTGACTGAAAAAATTAAGAAATCAACGTTTAATAAAATCGTTCAAAACACCATTTGAAAATGTATCAACATCCAATAAAATTGTTGCGGTAGAAGATAGTTTAGGGAATTTTCCTAGTCAACTGACAATGTTTTGAAGGGTTTCCGTCCAGATAGACATCAGGTGCATATTTACGTAAGGTTAGAAACCTTCGCTGGCATAAAATAAAAATTAGGGTAAAGTCTCAAAAAAATAAAAAGGTTAGGGACCGTTACTACAATTCTCCCAAATATTTAAGCATTAATCGCTGACCTATTTATTTTAGTAGTAACCGGTTCCTTTTTTATTTTTTATCTAAATATTTGACATCTCAACTTATAATTTTAGTGGCATCTTAGTCTTTTATTGGCACCATCCGTTTAATTAGCTGTTAAAATTCTTATTTTGTTATTAAAAATATCATTATATCATGATTCTTAATTTAAACCAAAAAAATGTTAAAAAAAAAAGGACGAGGACCATGGTGATGTTCTGGAGGTGGAATTAGGCATCAATTATTTGAGAATAATTTTGAAGAAAAAATTATTACAGTAACATGTAAAATAACTGGTCATCTCGATTTTTGCATGGATGACGTGGCCATCAGATTCTGGTTCCATTTATGTCTATGTAGCTAAGCTCCTGCATGCTTGAATGAATCATTAGCAACACATGGCCTTCTTCGATGACTGGGGAGGCAACCGTATGCACTCTGATAATCAAGTCAATCAACATGTATAATATATTTTGGATGTAGGACGTGTTGAAGAGGTAAGCTACGAAAGTGCTTGGCATTGAAACTTATAGAGAGTAAAAACGAGAGAGCAATGTTATAATTGAGTATAAAAAATTGCATTATTTTCAAATGACACTAACTGTGAGTTTTTATAGTAAATGAGGAGATTTTGTCATTGTTGGATGAAAAGAAACGTGATCTCATCTCAATTGTCGATGTGTCTCCTCTTAAGTGTCACTCTATCAATTATAGACTGATTGACATTTAATGTCTTTGAAAAGTAGTCACCTTAAGGTTAGGCCTGAACTTTGAAAGTAGACTGACAAGTTGAATATTGAGGCATCTGCTACAAAGATATCACATCGATCAATCAAAAAATATCTTGTACGAAAGATTTCTTGAAAAAGGTGACGTCAAAAATGCTTTATATCGACAAGGAGGCTAATTTCTCTGGATCCCTTCTACACCAAGTTACATCTCCTTGCTTATATCGTGGAGGATCAACCTCTACATGGCACCTCGGTGGAGGTATCTTATATACATATATGTCCTCACCTTGGCCAAGTAGGACATTGATATAGAGTGTAGGTATGATTAAATTACTGGCTAATTGCTACATGATCGCGATTTGAAGACTCATTAGAAGAGGCATAATAGGAATTATAATTGTTATAAGGACCTCGTTATCATTATTAAAAATATATATATTTCTAATCATGTATGATGTAATTCGATTGCATAATCAATTGGAAAGAATTAATCAAAACGACAGACAAGACAAGAACATAAATCAATAATATATTAATTTTTGTATATTTATGCTTATAATTTTCTTCGTCCCTGATTAATAATTAAAAAAAAATGCAGGGAGAGTAATAGAAAATAAAGATTGATATTTATTTTGTCTTCATTTTAAAGAGTATTAGGTCGAAGCAGTATTATTTTTTAATTGAAAAACATAATTATAAACCATCAAATTAAAGATGCTATTTGACCCAAACCCAAAGGAAAGTGTTTGGAATAGTGAAAAGAATACGTTGAGCATATTATGAATATGAAAGATATATCTCCTATAATCAAAGATATGAAACTTAAGATTCTCAAATAAATCTTATTTTCAATTCTACTACTTTAATAGAATATGTATTTTTCGAAAATTTAAGACGAAGTGGGAACGTGAGAGAGAAATAACATGAAAAGTAACATTTCAAATGGGGTGGGGTGGAAAGCATCTAAGTTATTCTTAGAATAATATGTTACATGAAATATATTATTCAACAGTGATTTGACATCATTTTAACCACATATTCTTCACTAAAATAATATTATACGCAAATAAAAAAAATTTCTTATTTTTTAACCACATATTTCCCATCAATACACTATTCAAAAATTCATTTTCTTCACAAAAATAGGGCTCAAACAAGGGCATAAGTGAACTTTTTAAGATCGTAAAGTGTTACAGACGAAAATTATCAATATATTTCAATAGTTTGTATGTAGACAAAGAGTTACAGACGAAAATCATCAATATATTTCAATAGTTTGTATGAAAAACGTTGCGTTATTCTAAGTGCCTTTTGTTGTTTGTTCTTCGGAATCTTCCTTCCTTGTAGCTTTTGTTTCTAGTCAATTTGCTGCACTTTATGTCTTGCATTGAGATTCCACTGTGGAATGATTGACTAAAAATGGTTTAAGTCAGGTTGGTTGTCGATATGTTTTAATTACTTTTGTCATTTTCTTATTAATATAGTAATTTGACAAGTAATTGGAGAATTAAGTTTCACTTACACAACAAATTCTAATATATCAATTGTCACCACGAAAGTTTTTTGTCACACCACAAATTGAAGTACTTTTTTATTTACGAAATTGGACATAGGTGAAATGACAAAAATAACCATTAAAGTTTC